CAATTATTCATAAAATATTCATAGGTTTAAGGTAAACGAGTAGTATTATAACTTATCAGGTTAAAATATTACTGGATTTTAAAGTATTAATAAAAATAGCTAACGTTACTATGATTGTTCAAAGCTCATATAAAATATTCTCAAAATATTACCAAAATATTCTCAACTTTTCCCATTAATATGTAAATAATTTCCACCAAAAAACTCACACACATATCACTGCTAATCTCTATTAACCCATTAATAGATAATCCATTTTTCAATGTATTTAAGAGACAGAAAATCGCCACAAAAGTCTCATTCAATGGACTGAACTCGAGTCCAACGTTTTAAAGTAAACTTTTTTTAATCATACATTTCTTTTTAATTATTATCAATGGATTTTACTGGTTTAATAAATTCAGCAGAAAGTGTTGTTCGTGAAGACAATCTTGAGGAACAGGTGTAAGTGATTTATAATTTATTTATTAGTATTTTATAAAACATTTAAATTGTATTCAAATCTCAATCTATGCCTCGAATTTCTATTTGAATATAAGTTTTCGAAAATCATGACTAGTATTACAATCATTTGCTTATAAAATGCACTCATTACGGTATCTCGTTTTATATTCATATAACAATTGGTATAAAAAATGATTATAAACTCAATAAAAACAATTTATTAGACCACTACCAATGCTCATGTTTTTCTAACTAATCATTTGTTTTGAAAACAAATTTAAAAATAACCTTATTATTAAAAATAACAATCGAGTGCATTATGTAATGAATGAGTTAATAGTATAGGGCATCGACTGTAAGGCATATGCGATAAGGGGTGAACACATTTCATACATTGATTTCAAACTTGCATATTCTTAACATTAGTGTTAAGTGTGAATACAGTGAGTGACAAAATTTCACTAAATATTCATTACATTCCGGTGAAGTTATGAAAAGTTTAGGATTACTTGTAAAACAAAAAGAGAATTTGATTTCAATATAACAGTAATATTCTAAATATAGGAATTGACTGCAATTGTCAGAAATATAAGAATTCAATGCATATGTAATATTCATACGAGACATACCTCTCATCATCTGTTGAATAAATATCATTAAACACTTGATGCGATTCATTATCCATTGCATATGTGGATCTGATGTCACGAAACACTTAAATATCTCAGCGATTATGTATTCAATTAATATTGTAATCCATATTAGTTGACAACTTGGTGTGAGAGTGAAACATGAATTTTCGCACTTTTTTGTTAGTTTTTTTGTTTCATTGATTTCAAACAACACATACGAACAGGTAATAAACGGTGGGATAAGTGGTTAGGGATTGGTTGAGGAGCTCTTAGAAAATGAAAACCAGAATAATGTATTTGTAGATAATTTCTATACTTCGATAGAATAGATAACTACTATTTGAACAGTCAATACACAAGTGTCTGTGAATGTCTGTCCCTGACGGTGTGTGCTTTTATAAGTTTCGCTAAAATATATTAATGTTTTCTAATTAATTATAAATACTTATCGTAAGGAATGTGTCGCGACTTTAAATTATCGTTAAATAAGCCTCTCGTAAGGATATACTCGCATGAGTCTAATGCATAGTCAGTGGTAATTAAAATAGCAAAACATTTATCACAAGTTATTACAAGTTTGTAAAAATAGGTCTAAATTTGGTGATAATTTCGCCAAAACTTATAAATACTTTTATCTGTTATGTAAAGTGTATACAATTTATCAGAGGATGTAATGAACACATTGATTAGTAAAATGCTATTTTATTGTAAAATTGTTTCATTCGATGCTGAAAATTAGTGAAAGTAAAAATATAGATAAAAAGAAATTAATTTTCTGAAATTATGGATTTCATTTGATATAACAGTGAAAGTAAAGAAAATTGATTAAAAAATAATTAAATTTCATTAAATTGATTTCAATAAGTGTCGGGTCTTTGTGGGAGACATAGATTATAGAAGGAATTCTTGTCCCAAAAGGTGGAGGCCTTCCATCCACACCAACCCTGAAATCAATGCAATTATTAGTGTTATTCAGTGTTATCTCAATTGAATTCAAAGTATTTTTTGAATTAAAAATCGCAAACAAATCAAAACTTACTTTCTTTTGAATGGTATTCAAGTCTTCGCCGCCCGTGTAGTGCGGATCCAGTATTAAGAACTTGATATCTCCGGTGTCTTCGCTAAAGTCGATGCCAATGATAGTATGGGCCAAAACACCGCCCCCTATCATAATAGGCGTCCCATTTGTGATGAAATGACTGATGAATTCGTGGCCTTTGTTGGCCAACTCGGCGCCGGAGTTAACGAACATAATCTTTGACGTGATTTCATACAAATGGCTCAAAACATAACTGACTTCCTGAGGGCCCATACGCTGTCGAGAGCCGACAAACGAGGGGTTCTTTTTATTGCCGTCTACGAGCGCCTGTTGGATGTCTTTATGACTGGGAACTGGTTTATCGATATATGACTGATGTCTAAACCACGACACTATGGTTTGCAGCGATCTGTAAGCACATCCCCAGCCGTTGTCATCAATCCTGTCCTGCATATAGTGATGGTATGTATAGTCGCCGTAAACCCAATACGTTTGGCCGCCTTTAAGACCCGACTCTTTGAGTCCGATGTGAACTGAAGTCAAATAATCTGTTTTCGGCTTTTCGTTGTCTAACAGAAAGCGATTGGATTTCCGGAAAACTGGTCGATCACTTCGAATCAAATATCTTAAATGATATTCTTTGCGACGACTCACGAGTTGTTCGTCACTCAAACTCTTCGGATAAACAATTGACACGAAATGCGAGACATTTTTGGGCCAAAAGTTATACGTTTGCAGAGAAGGCAGACGTTTGTCTGATTTGACACATTCTGTCCATTGATTGCCATATGATGTCAACTGTTGTTTCATTTGATTGGAAAATAATTTAATTAAATATGAAATGGAATTCATTTCTTGGATTCGAGACAATGAGTCGATCCTTATATTCAGTTTCACTTCTTTCAGGTCTTCAGACAATTCTATGTCTTCGGACGTGTCATCACTTGTAGTACTATTACTGCCATTAGAAGCCGTGAACTCGAGAGGACTCTTGTCGTTGGTTTTCTGTTCACTCGATATTAATTGACTTAATAGTGTAGAGTTGTTTGTTAACATATGAGTCTTAAAACACGACTGAACTAACTCTACACAATAAGAATCTACATTTTCTTTGGCTTCATTCAACTCTTCCGTCAATTTGTCCACAAAAGTGTCAATCGATGTCTTAAACGTGAGACAAATATCTGCTTTAAGTCTAACGATAATTGTCTGATCGATGGCCTCATTGTCATTCACGACTTCATGACTGCATTCACACAACTCTTTGGATTTGATGTCAAAGAATCGGGTCTTCAGCTCCATTATGTCGCAAATTGTGGTCAAAACGACGAGTTTTCCGCTTTTCTTGCTTTTGCTGTACTTCTGACACAAATCTTTGAGCACTTCTTCGGATGGAGAGGGAGTGAGACAATAGACACCCATTAGTGTAGTACCGGACGGAATGTCCTTCTCGTTGTCCACACATCCCATACAATAACTCACGTTATTGTCGGCCAAAGACGTGATTCCGAAGACAACTCCACTCTCCACATCTTCGGCCAATTGCGAGGAAATGTACCAAAAGTGTAGAAAACGCTAAAAATATGTCCAAAATAGTGATCACTAATTGGTTTATCAATGAGTGGTTAGAAATACAGACCTCACGAAGACTTTCGACAATTTTGAAATTATTTGTTTCTTGCGTTTTGCTAAAAACAAAATTTAATTTAATTATTGCTAAATAAATAGCTGAATTATAGTGGGATAACTAGATCAGGTGTTGGGAAATCAGTGGTAACTAGAAAATCAATAACTGGTTGGGATTACTTACTTTTCAACTTCTTGATCATAATATTGACCTAAAGTTTCAGGCACGACGTGATCTTCTTCGGGGTTTATTAATGGATCTCCAGATAACAGATTACTTGCGGCCTGTATAAGGGCTGGCCTTATATCACCAACAGTTACTTCTAGTGGATCCTGTACTTCAGGTAATACATGGAGTGGTGAAACTGGGAGAAGATCTAATTGTCCGGCCAATACACTAAAAATAATATGTGATTATTCATCATGGTTATATTGACTAAATTCTGTGAAATTCTGGAATTGTATGAACCATTGACTTCGTAGAAGACTATGTACGGCGCGAATGTCATCATATGTGACGGAATACTGATATTCGCCAACAAGACATTGGTTGATATGATGGATATGAAGGTGTTTATAGACACCGACTCAGACATACGACTGGCCAGACGTCTGCGTCGCGATATCACCGAAAGGGGCAGAGATCTGGAGGGTGTCATCAAACAGTACAACCAATTCGTGAAACCCATGTTTGACTTCTATATCCTCCCGTCGATGATTCACGCGGACCTCATTGTCCCGCGAGGGGGCGAGAATCAGGTGGCCATCGACCTCATCGTACAGCACGTCCACACACAGCTCCAGTCCAAGGGACTCAAACTCAGGTTAGATCTCGAGGTTCATACAACAGGCCCCGGGACCTGTGATTCGCATCATATCAAACACGACTTTACATAACTCTATATTTGCTATTTTAGATCCAAATTGATTAAAATACATACCGATCAACCCCTCCCCCGATCACTCAAACAACTACCCCTTACGCCACAAATCAAGGGAATGCATACTTTTATCCGAAATCGGGAGACAACGAGAGATGACTTCATTTTCTATTCAAAACGATTGATGCGTTTATTGATTGAGTTCGCGCTCTCGTTATTGCCGTTTAAAGTATGCCATGAATTGAATACTCAATGAATAAAACAATTACTAAACAAATGAATTGCAATTACAGGACGTAATCGTGGAAACGCCGCAAAACGTCAATTATAACGGAAAGCGAATCAACTGCCAGAAGATCTGTGGAGTGTCTATATTAAGGGCCGGAGAGACTATGGAACAGTCGTTGTGTGATGTCCTCAAAGATGTCAGAATCGGAAAGATATTGATTCAGACAAACAGAGAGACGGATGAGCCAGAAGTGAGTCCTCATACGACCGCAAGAATGCAAATCGTGTTACTTATAGTGATTTTAATGCTTTATAGTTATATTACCTGAGATTACCTAAAGATATAAAGGACTATAAGGTTATGCTTATGGACGCGACGGTGGCGTCGGGTGCGGCCGCTATGATGGCTATTAGGGTACTCCTGGACCACGACGTGCCCGAAGAGAATATATTCCTGTTATCACTGCTGATGGCTGTGTCGGGCGTCCACTCCATTGCCTACGCCTTTCCCAAAGTGACTGTTGTCACCACACAAGTGGATCCCGAAGTGAGCGACAAATTCTATATTATACCCGGAATTGGTATGTATTTAGTGTCAGACATCACAATCAAACCCTAATGAATGTCTATACGGTGTGTATGAATGCAGGCAATTATGGCGACCGCTTTTTCGGCACCGAAGCCACCGCTAGTTAACTGTATTTACACCGAAACCTAACGTAAGATATATTCTATTGAATCAAATGAACGATAAATTGTTTTTATTGAGTTTATAATCATTTTTTATACCAATTGTTATATGAATATAAAACGAGATACCGTAATGAGTGCATTTTATAAGCAAATGATTGTAATACTAGTCATGATTTTCGAAAACTATCCATTTGTCGCAACTGTTTGACGAGATCCGCAAGAATGAGACCAAAGGGCTGTCAAACTGGAAGCAGCGGCTCTTCATCTCAGACAGGGCTCACTTAGGTTTGCCTCAACTCCCTGTCCCCTAACATGAATGTCACCCATAATTGACTGCTTTCTATGCGATTAGTGTTTGATTTTCACCAAACGGTCGATGGATTGCAAGAGAAAGACAGGGGAAAGAAGAGCATCGGGACGACGAAGAAGGGCATCGGCCCTACATATGCCACAAAGGTATTGCGAGCGCATTTCACTTATGATTGAGTTGTGTTGAGTTGTGCTGTCTTTGAAGGCGGGTCGCACCGGCATCAGAATGGCTGACCTCATGGGAGATTATTCTCTCTTCCAAGAGAAGTGAGTTGTCTTTCACCTCAACTCTCGTTTTTCTGACCACATCTTCGGTTTTATAATCATTTTTACTCTCAATTATCCAAATATTTTATACATAAAACCGGTTTTTCTTTCATTTTATCTGAAAAACGTCAAAAACTATTTTGTCAATAGCGGAGTGTTTACCCAAAAAGTTATGAAAAAAAGTAATTATAAGAACTTAACTTAAGTTAAAAAGTATAGTCTTAACTAAACGTAAAATTTGTGAAAATTCTCTGTATTGACTCTATTTCACGATTTCTATTAATAGATTTCGCAGTCTTTCGGCTAATTTTCGGTCGCAATTCCCGGACATAAGTCAGGATGTGATCGATTCAGAGCTCATTAAATATAAAGTATGCGAACTATCAGTCAATTATTGGAAATGAATTGAATTAATGGTTTGTATATCCAATACAGCAATTTGCAGAAGAGATCCGTCCCTGTGTTAAGGATACGGTATCCTATGTGAGCACTTCCATGAGGGCCGGCAAGTCTGTGCTCATCGAAGGCGCCAACGCAACGATGCTCGACATCGACTTCGGTATTCATTCATTGGTTTGAATTGAGTTTTTGACACTAAATGTGAAATATTGATGACAACCCATAGGCACGTATCCATTCGTGACGTCGTCCAACTGCACGGTTGGCGGTGTCTGTACAGGTCTAGGCATTCCTCCGCGTTATATCGGCGATGTGTACGGCGTGACCAAAGCCTACTGAACGCGCGTAGGTGACGGCCCCTTCCCCACCGAACTTTTGGATCAAACGGGCGATTATTTGCAGACAACGGGCAAAGAGATCGGAGTGACCACTAAGAGGAAGCGTCGGTGCGGTTGGTTGGATGTCGTACTCCTGCGCTACTCGAATATGATTAATGGAT